ATTTTCACTCTTTGTCATTGTTTATTTATATTTTTTTTCGACACATTAAAAATCGATAAAAAATATTTATGTGTATCAATAAATTGTCCAATTGATTCTAAAGAACTTACAAAACTTTCTTTATTGCGCAAACCAAAAAATTTGAAAATGGTCAACATTTGAATTTTTCACAAAAACTGTGAGCTATAAGTCAAGATTTGGTATCGATTTCGCTAATTTCTAAAGTAACAAACTTAAGCCTAGTCTCATGTCATATTCATCGACCATAAGCTTCTCAATAATCTATGAAAAGCATTTAGTGATCTTTAAAACTTGGCTATGATTTTCACTCTCCGCCACTGTTTATTTATATTTTTATTTGACACATTAAAAATCTATAAAAAATACTTATGTGTATCAATAAATTGTCCCATTGCTTCTAAAGAACTTTCAAAACTTTCTTTATTGCGCATACCAAAAAATTTGTAAATGTTCAAAATTTGTATTTTTCACAAAAACTGTGAGCTATAAGTCACGATTTGAGATCGATTTTGCTAATTTCTGAAGTAATGAATTTAAGCCTACTTTTGTGTCATTTTGGTCGATCGATAAGCCTCTCAATATTTTGTGTAGGGAATTTAGTGGTTTTTCAAACTCAGCCATCACTTTCATTCTCTGCCAATGTTTATTTATATTTCTACTTAACACATAAAAAATCCATAAAAAATACTTATGTGTATCAATAAATTGTATAACTGCTTCTAAAGAACTTCTAAAATTTCTTTAATGCGTAAACCAAAAAATTTGCGAATGTTCAAAATTTGACTTTTTCACAAAAACTGTAGGCTATAAGTCACGGTTTGAGATCAATTTTGCTTATTTCTAATGTAACGAACAGAAGCCTACTTTCGTGTCATTCTCTCGATAACCTTCTCAATAATTTGTGTAGGGCTTTTAGTGATTTTTCAAACTCAACTATCCCCTTCACTCTCCGCCAATATTTATTTATAATTCTACTTTACACATAAAAAAAATCCACAAAAAATACTTGTGTATATAATTAAATTGTCCAACTGTTGCTAAGGAGCTTATATAACATTTTTAAATGCGTAAACCAAAATTTTACATATGTTCAAAATTTGAATGTTTCACAAAAACTGTGAACTATAAGTCACGATTTAAGATCGATTTTGCTAATTTCTAAGGTAACAAACTTAAGCCTACTTTTTCATCGATCTATAAGCTTCTCAATAATTTGCATAGAGCATTTCGTGATTTTTCAAATTCGGCTATCACTTTCACTATCCGCCATTGTTTATTTATATTTCTACTTGACACATAAAAAATCCATAAAAATTACATATGTGTATCTATAAATTGTCTAACTTCTTCTAAAGAACTTATAAACTTTCTTTAATGCGTAAACCAAAAAATTTGCAAATGTTCAAAATTTGAATTTTGCCCAAAAACTGTAGGCTATAAGTCACGATTTGAGATCGATTTTGCTTATTTCTAATGTAACGAACAGAAACCTACTTTTGTATCATTTTCGTCATTCGATAACCTTCTCAATAATTTATGTAGGGCTTTTAGTGATTTCTCAAACTCAACTATCCCCTTCACTCTTCACCAATATTTATTTATAATTCTACTTTACACATAAAAAAAATCCACAAAAAATACTTGTGTATATAATTAAATTGTCCTACTATTGCTAAAGAGCTTCGATAACTTTTTTCAATGCGTAAACCAAAATTTTACAATGTTCAAAATTTGAATGTTTCACAAAAACTGTGAACTATAAGTCACGATTTAAGATCGATTTTGCTAATTTCTAAAGTAACAAACTGAAGCCTACTTTCGTGTCATTTTCATCGATCTATAAGCTTCTCAATAATTTGCATAGAGCATTTCGTGATTTTTCAAATTTGGCTATCACTTTCAACATCCGCCAATGTTTATTTATATTTCTACTTGTCACATAAAAAATCCATAAAAAATACTTATGTGTATCAATAAATTGTCTAACTTCTTCTAAAGAACTTATAAAATTTCTTTAATGCGTAAACCAAAAAATTTGCAAATGTTCAAAATTTCACAAAAACTGTAGGCTATAAGTCACAATTTGAGATTGATTTTGCTTATTTCTAATGTAACAAAGAAAAACCTACTTTCGTGTCATTTTCCTCATTCGATAATTTGCTTATTTCTCAATAATTTACATAGAACATTTCGTGATTTTTCAAATTCGTCTATCACTTTCACTATCCGCCAATGTTTATTTATATTTCTACTTGACACATAAAAAATCCGTAAAAAATACTTCTGTGTATCAATAAATTGTTCAACTGCTTCTAAAGAACTTATAAAACTTTATTTAATGCGTAAATCAAAAAATTCGTAAATGTTCAAAATTTCACAAAAATTTTGAGCCTACATTCGTATCATTTTCATCGATCAATAAGCTTCTTAACAATTTTTGTAGCGCTTTTAGTGATTTTTCAAGCTCGTCTATTACTTAGACTCTCCACCAATATTTATTTATATTTCTTTTTGACACATAAAAATTCAAAAAAGTTACTTCTGTGCATCAATAAATTGTCCAACTGTTTCTTAAAAACTTATAAAACTTTTTTTAGTGCGTAAAGCAAAAGATTTGGAAATGTTCAAAATTTATATTTTTCACAAAAACTGTGGGCTGTCACGATTTGGCATCAATTTTGCAAATTTCTAAATAACAAACTTAAGCCTACTTTCATTCCATTTTTGTCTATCGATAAGCTTCGCAAGAATTTGTTATCTGCCAATGTCTATTTATTTTTCTATTTTACACATAAAAAAATTTGTGAAAATTACTTAGATGTGTTAATAAATATTCTAATTGCATCTAAAGGGCTTGTAAACTTTCTTTAATGCGTAAACCAAAATATTTGCAAATGTTCAAAATTTGAACTTTTCATAAAAACTATGAGTTATAAGTCACGATTTGAGATCTATTTTGCTTTTTTCTAAAGTAACAAACTTAAGCTTAGTCTCGTGTCATATTCGTTGACAGTAAGCTTCTCAATAATTCGTGAAAAGCATTTAGTGATATTTAAAACTTGACTATAATTTTCACTCTTTGCCATTGTTTATTTATATTTTTATTCAACGCATAAAAATCCATAAAAAATACTTATGTGTATCAATAAATTGTCCAACTGCTCTTAAAGAACTTACAAAACTTTCTCTATTGCGCAATACCAAAAAAATTTGCATATGTTCTAAATTTATATTTTTCACAAAAGCTTTGAGCTATAAGTCACAATTTAATATGATTTTGCTAATTTCTAAAGTAACAAACTTAAACCTAGTCTCGTGTCATATTCGTTGACCGTAAGCTTCTAATTAATTTGTGAAAAGCATTTAGTGATCTTTAAAACTTGGTTATGATTTTCACTCTCTGCCACCTGTTTATTTATATTTTTATTCGAATAAAAAAAATACTTATGTGTATCAATAAATTGTCTAACTTCTTCTAAAGAACCTACAAAACTTCCTTTACTGCACAAACCTAAAAAATATACAAATGTTCAAAATTTGTATTTTTCCACAAAAACTATGAGCTATAAATTACAATTTGAGAACGATTTTGCTAATTTCTAAAGTAACGAACTTAAGCCTATTTTCGTGTCATTTTCGTTGATCGATAAGCTTCTCAATAATTTGTGTAGGGCATCAAGTGATTTTTCTAACTCGGCTATCACTTTCACTCTCTGCCAATGTTTATTTCTCTTTCAAACTTGGCACATAAAAATCCATAAAAAATTCTTTTGTGTATCAATAAATTGTCCAACTCCTTCTAAAGAACTTACAAAACTTTCTTTAATGCGTAAACCAAAAAATTTGCAAATGTTCAAAATTTGAATTTTCCACAAAAACTGTGAGTTATAAGTCACAATTTAAGATCGATTTTGCTAATTTATAAAGTAACAAACTTAAACCTACTTCCATGTCATTTTCTTCAATCGATAAGTTTCTCAATAATTTGTGTAGAGATTTTAGTGACTTTTCAATCTCGGCTCTCACTTTCACTTTCACTTTCTCAAAAAATTGTCCAGCGGTTTCTAAAAAAACCTACAAAACTTTCTTTATTGCGCAATATTAAAAAAATTTGCAAATGTCCAAAATTTGTATTTTTCACAAAATCTATGAGCTATAAGTCACGACTTGAGATCAATTCTGCTAATTTCTTAAGTAACAAACTTAAGCCTACTTTCGTACCATTTTCATCGATCAATAAGCTTCTCAATAATTTCCGTAGGACATAAAAAATACTTATTTATATTTCCCCTTGACACAAAAAAATACTTACGTGCATCAATAAAATGTCCAATTGCTTCTAAAGAACTTAAAAGAATTTCTTTAATGCGTTAACCAAAAAATTTGCAAATGTTCAAAATTTGAGTTTTTCACAAAAACTGAGTTATAAATCACTTCATAAATTTTGCTAATTTCTAAAGTAACGACCATAAGCCTACTTTCATGTCGATCGATAAGCTTCTCAATAATTTGTATAGTATTTAGTGATTTTTCAAACTCGGCTATCACTTTCCTTCCCCGCCAACATTTATTTATATTTCTACTCAACACATGAAAAATATTTGTGTTATCAATAAATAGTCGAACTGCTTCTAAAGAACTTATGAAAACTTTTCTTAAACGGGTAAACCAAAAAATTTGCATATGTTCAAAATTTTAATTGTTGACAAAAACTGTAAGCAATAAATCACGATTTGAGATCCATTTTTCTTATTTTCTAAAATAACTAACTCAAGCCTACTTTCGTGTCATTTTTGTCAATCGATAAGATACTCAATAATTTGTGTTGATAATGATTTTCCGCACTAGTGCTAATTCAAGTTATAAGCCTTGGAAAGGAAGTAAGGTTAAACTAAATAGTCTAAGTATACACGTACCTTGTGCAACCCATCATCAATTTTGCACACCACGTCATATTGCAAGAGCAGACAAAACCACCATGATATACCGCGCACGACCAACGCGGCAACTCGACTAAGAGGAGTTTTGAAGAAACAGCAAGCAGTGTATTTGTTGTATTTCATTACAGTTGAAAGACTAAAACACTCGATACGACCAATAACATTAAGCCTAGTAAGCAAGCTGTACTCGGTCAAGAAGTAGAGCCCCAAAGAAAGAATTTCCAGCCCCATTCTTACTATACAACCTAACCTGCACAGAACAAACAGCCAAACAATTTAATAAAAGGTCACATCACATCTTCCCCCAATTGAACTATGTCAAATACCATGACGGGTTCAGGATCAACGCTGTAGCATCCTCTCAACATCTTCTATACAATAAGTTCATCTTCAAGATAGTTATATTCAAAAGTGAACTCTGTTTTAATCCTTTGGCACCTGTACCGTAACGTACCACAACAAAACGTAATCATAGTTAAATCCATTATATCAATGAATACAAAAATGTCAAGCACACTAACTGATTGTTTTTCTATAACAATATCAGTTTTTCTATAACGAGTGTGATTGTAAGTGTGTTGTCATAAACAAACCACAAATCTAAATAATTTAACACAAATGGGAAGCAAACCCGAGAATATATATATACATATTTGACTTTTTACCATTCAGATTCAATAAAAATATCAAAAAATAAAATCACAGGCAATTGAAAAAGAATTGATTGAAAATTTAGATTATGTAAACTTAATTTGTACGTTTGCGTCTAAAACCCGAGATGTGTAATATTTGGGTAACGTTTTATATCTTTCTTCTTTTGATATTAATTTTTAATGATATTTGATGTTAAAATAAACTTGTTCATGTATTTACCGAATTGGTTTTTTTTTTTTTTTTTTTTTTTTTTTTTTTTACACATACCAATGTACAAAGGGTCGGTAGTCAAAGAACTCTAGGGCCCCAATTCGAAGGCTCGCCTAAGGTCCCCAAATTCTCAGGGCACCAGGGAGGGGGGTGGAGGCTCAATTCTGACTACTTAGACTCCGCAACACCAAGTACAACGACACAAAGAAACTTGAACGTGAAACTAATGGATAAGTAAAACATACCATCCATGTTGTAGATCATCATTTGCAATATGAAAGTCGAAGTACACATACGTCCCTTGTTCATATTCATCCGTGGCAACTTTTGGCTCCTCGTGTCGTTGAAACCAAGTGTTATATTTCCTGTGGTATCTCCAAGATTGCTTCTTCAATTCTTTTGCAGCCAAATATTGCTGATAAGTGTTCTGCAGACAATAATGGACTTGAGCACAAGTTTATACTTTATAGTGATCATACACCGTTGAATGTGATACAATTTATAATAAGTACCTGCTGATAGTAAAATGCAAAGAACAGCGTATCAGTGCCATATGGTTCAAGACCTAACCGTTCCCAGAAGGCAGGATTGTTAACAATAGGTGCTTGTGCTTGAGGATAGCTAAGAGGTGTTATTGCGGGGTGCCTCTGTTGATGGCAAAAGGAATGAAGATTAGCATTAAAGAAAAGCACGACTCTTATTCACAGTAAAAGGGAGATCAAATGATAAATATAATTGGGTCATACTGGACTATAGCTCCTTGCACGTTCTGAGTCTTTGGGTTGTGGAAGTTTGTAGTAAGCAGCATCAAGCATCTGCAAGTTATACAACTGATCATGCATTCCCCCAGAATTAGCAGTTGATCCAGAAAGGTTATCACCAATTGCACCAAGATCAGAAACACTTCTTCTGCCAATAACACCAAGGCTAGCAGAAGGTTGATTGGATTGTAAAGGTTGCCCAGGAGAGAGATCAATATCTCGTGGTACTTGAGCAGGCTCTGTGGAAGTGCCAGAAACTCCGGCCTTCAAAAAATAAGTTCAGTAACAAATTTCAAGCCACATTCCACATCCATTGTTCCACAAATAAACTAACAAGAGTCCAAATAAGTTTTTTACTGCTAAATGTCAAGTGGTCAGAATGCTATGTAATATTGAGAGCGTTTTGGAATAAGGGAAGTTTGACACCTATCCTCTTCTGTATTCCACTTGGGCAGGCAGTACAGAGAGTAGCCAACCTGTTCATCTTGCTCTGCCTTTACATCTTTTGAAAAAAATAATACAACTACAATTATAAAGATTTACTAACCGCTCTACACTACAACAATTTTTCCCTCAGAACCAGTTAAAAATCCAATAGAAAAAGATAAAAGAATATTGGCAACAAATCATAATATATAGTAATCAAGAAAATATTCATACCAGAGAATCAATTGTATATGAGGCGCTCAAGTCATCTTCATTCATTAGATTCTTTACGAGTCCAGAATTAGGGGTAGAGTCTGCAGTAGAATCATCAGGTATATTCTGTTGTTGCTGGTCCTCAACTTTTGGATGACTTGCATCTGCATCAAATAAAACAGATCATTCAGTTTTGATGATAATGCATCCATGTTACACAGGGCTGATCAGTACAGTCCGCCACTTTAAATTTAATCCCAAGTGTTTGGTGTAGTGTGGGTTTAGACAAGAAACTGCCATTCTTTATTGATTGTGAATTTTTTTCATTACAAAACAATTCCTATGTATTTTAGTTTTCTGTATTCAATTCAGTCTTTTCACTTCTTTGTGGAAACAATAAATAGAAGAGTCATGATAAGATAGCACAAATAAAGAAAAGGAAAATAGAAAACATTAGTACAATATCATAAACTGAATTAGGATGAAGATTACCACCTTCTTTTTGTCCACTTGACATCAATGGCTGTTGATTAGACTGTTGATGGATAGAATTTAGCTGCTGTTGTAAGGTGGTAGGTGCAACAGTACCGAGAACTGGGGGCTGTACTCCTAGTCCAGGGCCAGCTTGAGAAGACACTGATGAGTTTTGAGAATTGAACTGCACATATAATCAAATGTCATCTATAATAACTCTTTGCACCAAATAAGCATATCTTATTCAGTAATAAACGATGGATATTATTTATTCATGATATTAACTAGAGCAATGTGCAAAGAATTGGATGATCAACAAAGTGCAGCCACATAGATTATTGTGGGAAAAAAAATATCAATCTGTGTCCATGAAAGTTTGATATGATTACATTTGTCCACATTTCACTGAATCAGAAGGAACACAAACAGCTGATTCTACAAAGTACAGTACCTGTTGCAAAAGTGGGTTTTGCTGTGCAGAAAATTGCTTATGATTTCCACCAGCAAGAGGAGGCATGCCAAGCATGGTACTATGACCTTGTTGCTGCACTTGTTGGAGCCGCTGCAAAAACTTCTCCCTCTGATCAGGTGCTATTTCAGTTCTTCCACGAAACATTCCCTGAAAATTGGTTAACTGACTTAAAATATCACAAAATTTATCTAGTCCATAAAATTTGAATCCAAGAATGCAATGAGATTAAGAATAAATATAATTGCAAAGCCGCAAAACACAAGCATATTTTCAATTCTACAAATGGTATACATTCGAGGTTGCATTAGGCCATGCAACCTACGTATAAAACTGGAAATTAATGAAGAGTTTGAGAGATAGAGAGAGAAAGATCGAAGAAATCCTTAATAGTAAAAATTTACATACTGCTTCATTTTGGTTTTGGAAGGAACTTCCAGGCCTCCACTGCATGCCAGAGACCATAGACGGAGAAAATGCTCTGCCAGGTATACCAGCCTCACTAGCATTACTAGAATCAACTGGAGCACTTCCATCACTAGCCTTGGCAGCTTGAGGCAAGATCAGTCTGTTAGTTATGGGGGAAACAAGCGGCTGCACCACACCACTACTCCCAATTCTCTCATCAGCTCCCAATATATTTCTCTTGGTCACATCAGAAACTGAAGGAACTGCACCAAGGGCACTATTACTAGGAGCCACATTGCTAGAGCTAACAGGGATACTAGATGGAATTGGTGCAGAGAAGCCACCTCGACTGATGCCCCTTACAAGTCCAGCATCAGAAAGAGATGGTGATGGTCTACGGCCAGGGAAGCTTGCTAATTCTTCTTCCTTCACAGAAGCAGACAAGCTTACAGGAGATGAAGAATTAGCAGCCCCTGCATTCTCTGTGACACCCCGAACAGCATTCGAACCTGGAATGGCCAAAACACTTGGCACACTGGGCAGATTATGAGTTGAAACACTTGCAGAGACAGGAGTTGCATGACTCCCAGTTGGCGTTGATGCAGGAGACGAAGAAAGCGCACCACTTTTAGGAGGTGGAGTTCTAGGAATGTTATCAGCATTACTGTCCTGGGAAACTGTATCTTCAACTGGCTCTTGTACAGAAACACTCAGCTGATTAGTAGAAGTAACAGCGGGCTGGAAAAGAAAGATTAACCTTTAGTACAGCAACATCAGACAGCATCTTACAGAAAGGAAGCAGAGGTCATCAACATATCTCCAAGTTCTAAAATATTCTAAGAGAGAAAACTGAGGGGGGAAAGACTTTCTTATTCAATTTAAACTTCCTTTAAACCAAAGGTTCGTTCAATTGCTTAACAATTTTGATTTAAAATCTACTAAAAAGATAAAAATGATTGACCCATAGATATGTTATATATCAGAAAACATCTACCACAAACAAATCTTAACAGCATTCTGCAGCATCACACCAATTATGGATGCAATTGTTTATATCAAAAACTAAAGATGCAAACTTCAATTTCACGGCTTCAACTATACAACAACCTACTCGTTCAAGTACCATTGACTCAAGATTTTGAGGACATACAGGCATTGGAGATGCGAGTGGTGCCAAAGAAGTCTTCAAGCAAAGCATCGGTGCACCCTGCCCCTCAAAAATAAAAAATCAAGCTGGGTTTTGACGTGGTCATTGAAATACTACAATATATATGATACCTGATGCCATGAAAGGTAATGGAATCCATATAACAAAAATACCAAAATTGATAAGCAAACAATTGATTTGTAAACTTAAAGAAACAATTAGGAATAGGTTTAGATGAGTCAACCACATGTCCTAACTAAGAACTCAGTTAACAGAGATGAGACCTAGCATATAAATATAATGTTGAATGAGGTGCGGTATAAGGAAGGCCACAAAAACCATCTACTTTCCAATTTTTCATCCATTCCTCCTATGGTAGCAGGATAACTTGTATAGAATGGCCAGTTAAGTTGAGATTTAAAAAAAAAAAAAAACAAAGCATACTAACTAGTATCTTGCAATTATATAGTCAATAAAGAATTAACAAACGCATAAGCAAATATTTACTTCGTAAAAAAGGGACTCTGGTTTAAAAAGACTTTTTAATCATTTCTTTTTTTCACATGTCTATCTCAACTGACAAGATATGTTTCTAATGTAATGAAAAATTAAATAAATTACACCTCCGACTGAATATAAGAACCTTAAATAGAAATTTGCATTCAGCAAAAAAAAAAAAAAGTACCTTGATAAGACCAGGAGGAATAATGGCCAGATCTTCAAGGGACTCCACCTTGTCCAATGGTAAGGTGTTGTAAAGCTCATCAACTTCACTAAATTCATCAAAATCCTCCTGAAATATAACATAACAAAATAAAAAAGTCTGATATAGGTAATCGAAAAGCACTCATGACCTCGATTGAGAGTGTTCTATATGTTGATTTATTGATGCTGAAAAAACAAAGATAAATTTCAAAGCACAATAAACCTGATTGCGTTCCACATAGTCTTCCAAAAAGTCTTTAACATCATTGACCTGCTCAGGACTCAGCTCGTCATTATCCAATAGCCTCAAGATAAGTTCTAACTTCATTATATGTGCCTTATGCCGAGTAATTGAAGTCTCTAGATGGGTCTGCGAGACAAAATAAACATAAATAAATTGTCAAAGAATGCAGAAACCACATGTTTCCTAAGAATGCAGGTTTTTTCTCCTACCAGTCTGGGTGGCCTGCCCTTCCCTTTCTTGAAAGTTAGCCCTTCAATTTCAGCTTCAAAGCTGTCAATCTGCGATTCCAACTCCCCAACCTTCTCAACACAATGAAACACCAAAAATACTCACCAAATGATAATGGATAGTTGCAAATACATAAATCGTAAAACCAATCTCATCAGATATGATTGAACAACCATTATTGACAAGTTATAATGACATAACAAACATTTGCAATCTAAAGGATAACTGAACAAAAAAAAAACCACAAACGTATAAAACTTCAAAAAAGACAATCAGTGGCATCAAGCACCAATGACAGCCATCAATCAATTAAAGAACTCCACCTTTCACAACCATCCACTGGCACTATACGTATAATTAAATATATATCAGACACGAGAACACACAAGCCAAAACTTATACACATAAAACATGGATCATGCAATGAATGAAATATGATGCAGACATAATTTAAATTACAAACGCAGCAGACATCTTAAACCATACTGTTTTATATAGTCAAGCCTCACAGGCTTCTAAGGCAGCAGAAGTAGGTAACAACAGACTTCAAGAAAAATCTTTTGTTTCACATACCACGTTGTTTATCCAATCCCTTGTCTCTGATTTGGCCTTCTCCCTCGGATCCTATCATAAAAAGGAATAACACAGTTGGTAAGTTGATTCGCTACTAAATGGATTATCATAAGGATAAAAGAGCTAAATCTGTGTTCAAGGTGGAGAAATAAGCATTGCCACAACAGCATTACCAAAATACAAAATTCCTGAATGATTAAAAACGAGGTGCGAATAAAATGAAACGGGAAGGATTAGTAGTTACGGTTTTAGGTTGTTGGCCCAATCCTTCTTTAGAAAATGCTTTTGTTTTAGTCTCCTTTTCACAAATCTTAAACCTTTCCATTTCGCGCTCAATGAGTTTGCGAGCATCCACCAGAGCCTGCTCATAAGAGGCACTCACCTACGTCAACATGCATCAAAAAATGAATTAATTGTCATGTCCAAAACCATCGAGTACAAACCAAGGTAGAAAAACTTATAATTTGCAAATGGAAAACAGTTGGGAGAAGTAAAAAGAGAAAGACCTTCTTATCCTTGATTTCACTGGACTGAATCCAAGTCTTGATTTGGTCCCTGTACCTCTGTAGCTTCTTAATCTCCTTCTTCAGGTCGGCCTCAAACTTCTCCTTCTGGTTCGCATTGTCCGTATCGTAAACCTAACCGCATTGCACAGAAACACGCATCAGTCGTTTTATCAGTTGGAATTTGCGTTTCTGTAAGCAAGCAAACGAGGAAGGTAGAAGAAGCTACAAACCTTGTTCCAAATGCTATCGAAGACATCGACGCCTTCCTGGACCTTCTTGAGAACGCGGTCGATCTCGCCCTGGAGCTTCCGACTTGCACCCATCCTCTAATTCCCGCAACCGGACGATCTGATTGCAACCCCGCTAGGGTTAGGGTTTTTTATTGCTTTGTTTTCCCGATTGCGCTCGAACTGAACAAATTTAGACGACCAATCTATCCACCTAATTTTTAGAATTTGTCAGAGTCAAGTTAAACCGTATTCTTATTTATATTTTCTCGGACATTTTAAGCCAATACGACGCCGTCTATATTGGGCTTTTCGACTCGTCTGAACTGGGCCTCTAGTCTTTGGGCTGGACAAATAAAACCAACCGTAACACGACGCCGTGTCAAATGGAACACACTGTCACTGAGTCTCCGGTCTCTCCACCCATCAACACGGCACACTACTCACTCACTACTCACAGACTGAACAGATAAGAGGAGAGAGAAAAGATGAGAGGGAGTTTTCCGGCGCCGGCGGTTATATCCGGTGCGGTGAGCTTCACAATTACTCAAATTTCTTTGGTGGGCAGAAGAAAGAAAGATTCGTTTGAATTCCCAGTCTGCTCCTCCTCCCAAACAGCTCGCTTTTCCTTCTCAATTCACGACGAGCATAACCAGCAGAGGCAAAGACAGAGGCGAAGACAATGCCTTTGGTTACCAGAGAGAAGCAAATGGAAAGGAGGACGTCGTGCGGGCATTGGCTTGCAATGCAAGTGCAGCTACGAAAGCGGAGGAGAGGATAACGGATGGGTGGTGGTGAATTTCTACCATTTCGTGATGATCAAAGACGCAGAGGCGGAGGTGGCCAAGCATCTCTCTTTCGTAGAGGACCTCGACATACGAGGACGGATATATCTGAATGAACAAGGGATAAATGCACAGGTACTTATTGCTTTCTTTTTTTAATGTGTGTTTATGAAATCAATGGAATGAACGAATGAATGCTTATATAATGTTATAACCTCTCTTTTTATAGCATATTGCTTTCTTTTGTAATGTGTACGAGCAGAAATTCTCTGTGGACGACGTTCAGTCCATAGCCGGATTGTATGTATAACTGAACTGAATTCATGAACCATACATATTACTGCAAGACAAAACAATAAGAAGTGTGTTTGATATCCTGTGTTGTGCGTATGTACAGTACAGTGGGCCGTTGAGAGATGCACTTGCATATGTTGAATGGTTAAGGGGGGACGAGAGATTTTCTGGCATCCTAGTGCAGATTTCTGCAGCAACAAATGGGCACGCCTTTCCAAAACTCAAGTTGCGGTATAAGCCCTCACTGGTTCAGGCAAGCCCCAAAAGCCAACTTCTTCTTTTTCTTCTACTCCTTGTAGCTAATGTCATAACACATATCTCCCCCGCTTGCAGTTAGAAGGGGGCATTTCCCATCTTCCTTTGCTGGACCCTTCAATGCGAGCAACGCCTCTATCGCCATCTGAATGGAGAAAGAGATTGGAATCATTGAATACAACTAGTGATGCATCAAATGACAATCTTAAAAGAAACCAGATTTTATTGGATGTGAGAAATGGTATTTTACTTCCCAGCCTTATAATTTCAAATGATTTTTCCTCTTATCGTTAATCCGGCGATTCCCTTCAATTGTGTATTGATGGTTTGATAATTTGAGTGTATCATACAGATTTGCTCATACTGTACATTGAACGGTTTTGATAGCTAGATATGTTTAACAGTGTTGTTTCTTCTTTTGTCTTTGACATGTTGCCCTTGGTCATGTTTCTAATGTACAATTGTGCATGCAGTTATTGTTATTTCTGTAGCCTCTACGTCAGTCATATTAATCGTGTTCATAATTTCAGCCACAGAAGTTTGAAGATTTTGTCACTGCTTGTAATCAGGTTATGAGTGGGATATTGGTCATTTTGAAGGGGCTCGGCGACCTGACGTGGACTGCTTTAGGAGCACTTCGTTTGGGTTATCGCAACCAGAGGTACGTGACTTTTAGTTCAATGACATGTTAACATGAACTAGTGTTGTTTGGGCAAAACAAAACAGCTGTGAAGAAGTCCCATAGCCGTAAGGATATTGATGTGTAATGGTTTGAAATGAAGTTCTGCTGTGAAGGTTTTTTCCTAGCTATGGAGATTAAGATCAGGCACATTAGCAATTAGGAGGTTCCCTTAGATTGTGGTGAAGCCGCACTTCTGTGGTATTATATAGTGAAGGTCGCAGCCTGTACTTTTTGAGATACGAGAATTTAGGCAATAATATGTTCTGAAGGCAGTAGAAACTTCATTTTCTAGTGACGGATGTGAACATACTACTTTCTGTCTCTGTTATTCAGGTCATTGCCGCAGATCCGTTAGAAAATGTTGACAAAGAAAAGACAGATATATTGATGTATTGCACTGGAGGTATCCGTTGTGATGTATATTCCACAATCCTAAGGTAACCCTCCATCTGTTGCGATGTATATTGATGATTGTATTGCATTATTAATGGGAAAATCTGTGATGGAACGGATTGTGTTGTGATGTTGGAAGCAATTCTTTATCTTTCTTCTCTCGCCCTTCTTATTTTGGTCATTAAGTTGTAATTTAATTTCATCTGCCAGAGAACAGGGCTTTCAAAATCTATACACATTAAAGGGAGGTGTTTCTCATTATCTGGAGAATGAAGGTCCTGTCCAGTGGATTGGTAATTTGTTCGTATTTGACTCTCGTCTCTCTCTCCCACCGCCTGCCTACAAGCCTGAAACCACGACTAAAGCAAGCAGGCATGAAGATTCAGAGAATAATACGTTCGCTAGATGCTATATATGTAGTTCACAAGTCTGTGAGTTAAGGCATAGAAACTGTGCAAATCTCGACTGCAATCTGCTGTATCTGTAAGTTCCTTTTGTTACCTATTCCCTCTCCATCCATCCCTCCCTCCCTCCTACAACTTGAAGCGTCACTGCCTAGGTATCATTTTACCATCTGAATTACGTAAGGATTTCTATTTCAGATGCTGTATGAACTGTGTGAAGGATTTAAGAGGATGCTGCTGTTCCAACTGCACAACTGCTGCTCGACTTAGACCTGTTCTTCCAGGGTTCCAGAGATACAAGAAGTGGCACACATATAGAGATTCGATACCACACAGCCGGTTGACGGCTTGATCAGACTCGTAAATCCTCGGGACGGTTCATCACTTTATCTAAACCAAAGCAACTGTTGGGCATCATGCTCGTCTTCCTGTTGGCTGTTGGATTGTTGCAATGCATGGTGGAGCGGGACGAATTTCCCTTTTCTTTTCTAACAATGGAGAAGGCATGTTTGGTGTCAGTGGTCATCGAAGGTTAGCTTGCAGCCTTCGGTCTCCGGAATCTACATCGGCCCATCTCTTCTGCTACAGGAAAAAAGCAGCAGCAGTGAATGTAGCAGAAACGAGGAACTGAATCATCTAGCCACAACAATAATTCGAAGCTAGTTGGTCGCATATTTATAATTTTTTTGTTCCCTAAATGTTGTCATGTCAACACTGGAGCGCAACATTACATGTCCAGATGCCCAAGATCTGCCATGAATGGCTCATTGTTAGTGTTCAACTGTTTATTTGAATGTAAATTATGACAGTGAAAAGTAAAAACACCCGATCAGATACGGATACATAAAATAGAGCACAAATGCTCGGTTCCTGTTTTACAAACTGGATGCAGCTTATCCCGCTAATAAAACACTGTTTTACATACTGGATGCAGCTTATCCCGCTAATAAAACATAGGGCCCTAAAACATACTAAAGGGTACAATAAGCATAGAGCAATATATGAATTAAAACTTCAGTATACAGAACAAAGTGAGTTTAATCAATGACAGTCTCTAATCAAAGGCTCGTGCAAATGCAACAACTCCACCATGCCGTTCCTGCCATGAATTAAACAAAATATGTTAGACTGGCTGATAACAATGACAGAAAAAATTTGCAGCTTAGCATATTATACCGTAAGGAAACAATTTATACGTGCTCATGCAAGCCATGCCACACTCATCCGGAAGGCAACAAAGAGAGGGTTCGAGCCACACAAAAACTTGCAACACGAACAAAAGCAAACAATGCACCATAAAGCAGTACAACGAAAATCAGGCCACTTCACCTGGCTAGTAAGCTGCATAGCATTTGATCGAATGAATAGGATGCAAGATGATCATGATGTAGGATAACTCCTAAAACAGGTCAGGTAACATATAGACCTTTTTGACAAGCCTAGCAGTGCAACTCTTAACTCTTAATCAGGTTCTGCTCATACTAGATGCTAAACTTTTATATCATACTGTGTGTAGAAAATAGAAAAGAGTTGTGGTGGGGCGTGATTGATAATGATTCTAAAGCCGTAACAACAAAGCAAAAGGGTCAATAGACGAGACCTCTGAGCAGAAAAAATGGAAGGAGGAAATGACAAAATTATAGGCCTCACAATGTGTTTGTAACTGTGAACACACATTCATATCATGGCAACTCTATTATACAAAAAAGATACCAGACATGGTATTCAAGTCATGAACACCAAACAGAAAAATGGTTATTTATTCAAGTGCCAAATCTGCACAACTCAGAAGGGGGCTCTGTAGAAACTTCATGATGCAATCGGAATAGTTTGTTTCAGTGTACACAATCGTAATCGTAATAACTAGTATCGTGACAACTAATATCATGATAAGAAAGTGATTATTCAATTCAAATTCAAAGTAATTGAAGTGACACACAACAACTTCGGAACAAAACGGATGCACATTACGATTTAGTGTTACAATAATTCAAGTGACACCCAACAAATTAAGAACAACAAAGAAACACATTTCGATTAATTTGTACAGAGAAAAAGAAGGGGACGGACCTGAAAGATTGAAGAAGAACAAGGAAGAGGAATCGGACATGTGTAAAATAGAACTGATAGTTATTTGCAGTAGCGGTCGGCTTTCTTCTTGACGCGGTCGTCAAGAACGTCCTCGACGGACTTCCGTTCAACGGATTTGGGATCGTAGCCGAACTTCTTGGCCTCAACCGGGAACAGCTGCTCATACTTCATCCGCTTCGCTGCGTCGATGGTGTACGTCTCTGTTCCTCCTCCAGTTCCTTCTACTGCTGCTGCTGCTGCTTCGGCGCTTCCGTCCTCAGCCACCACTTGGGGATCGTCGTTAGGGTTCATATGCTGCTCCTGAAGCTGCTGTTTCTTCTTTTTCTTCTTCTTCTTGTCGATGGCTTTGCTGCGAGTGGCAAGAGTTCCATCTTTGAAGGTCAATCTGCCTCCTTTCGCTCTCTCGAATGGATCCGACATATTTCCCCTAACCCTTGTAAATTTTGATTTGGATTCTGTTTTCCCCAACTCTTTCTCTCTCAAAACTCTCCGGAACGCAATCCCCAATCAAAAATTCCACCACCGCCTTCTCCTCCTGTAAATATCGTATAGCCTTTATTTTTCAAGTCGCACTAGGTCAGGCCCAAACAAAATACAACCCAGGCGGCCCATCACAAACCCAACGGATCAGATGCAGCCACGTTTTGTATGACATATGCATCGGTCCAACTTGTCCTAAGAACCAAATTTTAAGGAAGGGATGCCCAAAACCATCCCTACGCATGCTATTTTTACAATGTTAGGATCTTGAGCACTAATATTTTCAGTGCATATTTAAGTTACACATTTGAATAAGAATCATTAAATTCTGTTAATTAAAGAGGAACGAAACAAAAAGTTGCATGCTTAAAAATGAAATAAAAGAGTCATAAGTGATCAATAAAATATACCTGAGGTTGTCTGGAACAGTCCATGAAGCATGTGCTGTACCATTTAGGTTACGAGGCAATGACATGTATTTTCTCCAAACTTGCAGCAAAATTTTATGATCATTGACTTTGTTTTCGAGACCAATACAACAATCAGCATGCATCGTGCAAACTTGATTAAAACCCATCTGGTTGACAGAAGCCACCAAAGTATAGTGTATCAGAAACCCTCATTTTCAATCCAATCTGAGCAACAAAGAGATCAGATTTATCTCATTAAGTACATCTTGTTTGCGGTTTTTTTGGATACGTATTTCTGGAGACCAAAACTTATAGAATAGGACAGTTCGATCATTGGATTTTACATAGAAAAGTCCCGTGTTGGGAAAAATATTTACAGCATAAGGATCACCTATGAAGTAATCACATGAAAATTGAATATCTACATTTGGAAAGAATTGTAAAAATGCATCTCAAATCCACATTATATCATTATCCTGTGCATTCCGATATGCAATGCATGCAGCAAAATCTAACAACAATTAAAACAAATCACCATACTAGCTTTTTTTAATTTTCGAATTTTAATTTGGAAAAGTAAACAAAAATTGGAAGGAAAATTACGTACCGTAAAGACAAGCTGTAGCCTTTCTCGAGAATAAAAGATTAAAACTGGATTTTTCTCCGAGTTATCTGTAAGTAGTTGGAAGACATAAAAACTGCCTCGCGAGTAAAGTTGGCACCTTGAGTGTTGAGTCGGTAATTATGAGGGTGCGACGCTAGGCAAGCATATGCTTTTTCGTCCAAGCAGATGACTACCAAATGCTTAAGCAATAATCATCCATTTCGTGTTACTTACGATCTCAAAACTCTCCAGAAACAGATCAAATATTGAATTGGGTTCTGCCCATGCATCATTCAACGTAGTTATTATACCCGTTTTGTTCTTCATGCATGTATTTCAGAGCTTTATCCAATGGATCCATATCCTCTAGCTGGTTGGCCTGCATGCACCGATAACCATGCATGCATGTGTTATATGTACCCACGTACTTACGTACTAACGTAACTAATTTGTTTGTGGAGTACAGAGTAAAAGGGATGAATCAGTGATAGATAACTAAATAGTAATTAATTAAGCGGACTACTGTACTCACCTGCTGGGAGGAAGTTGTGGGTCTGCAGAACGGGAGGTGTGGTGCCACTGCCAAGGCATCATAACGAACGAGATCCCGGAGGATACACACAATTGTAGACAGTAAAGCAACCGGCGACAGCTGCGAAATGTAACCAAGACTGAAGCAACGAGTTTTGGTTTTAGCGGGTTGCGTCGAAAGTGCGAGATTTAATATGTAGACAATTGCGGCTTAATTGATTTCCCGATAGGAACTCTAACTTGTACATTTCAGGTTGCTGGTTCGAAGTCGAAGTAGGCATTACGCAAGTCCCATTTTGATAGTGTCAATTTGTTTTTACTTTTTAGTTTGGTTTCACTGTTGATGTTTATATATAAGAAAGAAAAAAGGATTAATGAAAACAAAATTTTGAAAGTGAAAACAAGTGGTGGATTCAGAAAAAATTATTCAAAGAGTCACGTGTAAAAGTCCACAAACATTTATTAGACATATAATAACCTTAAAATTTAAATCATAGTTCCATCATTTATAACTTATAAAACGAATAACAATACAAGCTACAATTGTCCACGACGCAGTTTCATATTTTGAAAACACCATATAGCTTCATTATCAATGGAAGAAAGAACATTGCTCTCAATATAAATCACTATGCTATCACTCAACCATTGATTTCTCATTCGATTGCACAATGGACTTTCCACAATATTCATAGTAGAAAAGGCTCCCTCCATTGAAACAATAGCAATCAGTAGAACTAAAGAAATTTAAATCTAATTGTTCGGTTACGGAATGAACTTTTCACAATATTCAAATCTAATTATTCATAAAAGAAATTTAATTTGAATTAGCAATGAAAAACTTACTTTGAAATTTGAAAGATGAATTTTAGGTGGTTGTCGAAATGATCGCTGGAGTGGGATGGTAGGAGTTTGGGCGTTAGGAATTGAGTTTGGTGGGATGGAAATTGAGAATTGGAATTGAAAATTTGGAAGTGAGTTTGGGGACTAGGGTTTGCTGCTAGCTACAGCCTGCAAGTGCGAATCTTCTCTTTTTAAAGATTATAGTGCATCATTTTGGTCAGGTAATATTTTAAAAAGAAATAATAAGAAGAGCAACTCTTCTTTGAGTTATTTTATCAAACTTTCGGAGGACATGTATGAAGGCCAACTCCAACCTTCAAATGGACAATACCCAAGTTATCCATGAATTTTCACCTAAGTTTGGAGCGTCGACTAACCCTCCAAACCTCCTAGTGCGTTCTCCTTTGAAAACAACTTTATATTTTATCAAATGAAGTCATCACCTCCAAAATGATATTTTTTGTAACTTTTCTATTTTTGTAATCTTATTGCCAAGAACTTTTGCAATTTTTCTATTGCCAATGCATAGAGTCGATGCTTCCAATCATGGTAGAAAAACCCTACCTTCACCAAGCCTTCGGAGGTCCATTATCATGGGTCGGCGGAGTTACTCCTTTCTAGTATTAGTATAGATATTCGATTGCTTGGCAGAAAGCCATCAACGACTCTAGGACAATGGATTTTTCCATTCTTGTGATCTCATCCGTTTAAGATTTGTAATAGTACAACTCCACCTGTTTAAGGATTGCTCTTAGTAAAGTATGAGGAAAAAAGTTGTGTGAAAGTCATATATTGCAACGGTGTTACTAATCTATTAATTTAGTAACCTAAACTACGCTTCTGCACATGTTAGCGATGAGATATGTGAATAAATAGAATTGAAATTTTAGATTACATATCTATCCCTTCTGATTTGTACATTTCAAAGTTGCTTACTATTTGGAGTTGAAATAGACATTACGCAAAGGTGTTTGTGTATCTTACATAATACATACAAATTACACATTATAAATCTCACACTTATGGCTTTTCGTTTATTCCCGTTGTCATAATTCATAAATGGAGGGCATATTCATTTTCACTAATTCACTTCTGATACCATTGCAAAACAAAAACAGCTGCAAAATAAATTTTGTAATAATCATGAGCAAGATGACATATATTTGATCGCCAAGGAGCAATTTCCATTGTTGAACTTAACCCTCTTTTTTCTTCTACCTGAAGTAACGACATACATGATAAAGTAGAACTATACACGTCAGATTCATGTATGCATCCATGGTTCTCAAATTAAGTTTCAAAGATATTTGATAACGTAACATTGTATAAGATTTACCTGTAAGTAAATGTTTCGAAAGCTCCACAGATTGGAATAATCTTGTTATAGTTTCACTCCCTTCTCCGTTTATTATGCTTCCAGCGTTCGAAGGAAGTGCTTCAAGTCAATTAGATAGTCAAAGGGTCAATATATATATATAAAGCAACAGTCCGTATAATTAAGTTCCAAATGAAATTAGAAATGGGACTGCAACTTCGAAAGATAAATATGAAATTAGAAATAGGCTTAACAGAAGAAGATTCATAACTGATGGATAAAATATACCTGCAATATTTTTGTGGGACGGTCCATAAAGCTTGTGATGTGCCAGTGACGTTACGAGGCGACGACATGTATTTTTTCCAAACTTGCAGCAAAGCTTTAAGGTCGTTGACTTTGTTTTCAAGACCAATACAACAATTAGCATGCATTGTGCAAACTTGGTTAACATCCTTACTTGGATCACAGAATCCACTAAAGTATTTTGTATCCAAGAATCTCACTTTCAATCCAATCTTCGCAATGAAAGGATCAAACTTTATCCTATTAAGAACATCTTGCTCATTCGTCTTTGGATACGTGTTTTTGGAGAGATACCAAAATTTGTAAAACCCAATAGTCCGATCATTGGATTTTACATTGACAAATCCACAGTTTGGAGGATTTTTAAAACTATAAGAATCTCCTAGAAATTTATCTGTTGCAATTTGAAAATCTGCATCTGGATAGAAGTATGGGAATGGATCTCGAAGCCACATTATATCGGTATCCTGTTCATCAATTTCACTAAGTAGTTCATACATGGAAAAGGAAGGAAGGAAAAATTGGAAGAATTTAAGGACTAAGAAAGGAGAGTGACATGTGTATTTAATATACATACCGTAAAGACAAAGTTGTAGCCTTTATCGAGAATGGAAGACAAAATCTGGGTTCTTCTCCACATCATCTGTAAGTAATCGGGAGTCAGATAAAATACCTCTCCGGTAAAGTTGGCACCTTGAGTGTAAAGTAGGTAACAATGAGGGTGTGATGCTAAGCAACGAGAATATGCTGTTTGGTCCACGCAGATGACTAGCAAATGCTTGAGCAGCCATTTCGTGTTACTTCCAATGTTAAAGCTCTCAAGAAAGAGATCAAATATTGAATTGGGTTCTGCCCATGCATCATTTAACGTAGTTATTATAACCGTTTTGTTCTTCATGCATGCATTTTTCAGAACTTTATCTAATGGATCCATATCCTCCAGTTGGTTGCCCTGCATGCACCGATAACCATGCATGCATGTTATATATATGTACTTACATACTTACATGCTAAAATAATTAATATATTTGTGGAGTAGAAAGTGAAAGGGATTAATTAGTGAGACATAACTAATGAATTAAGAAGACTAGAGTGTACTCGCCTGCTGAAGTGGAGGGGTTGTGGTTTTGCAGGAGGGGAGGTGTGGTGCCAATCCATCATAACGAACTCCTGTAGGATACACAAAATTGTAGACAATAAAGCAACCGGCGACGGCTGCTGCCGCCATAAACACCAGTGTCGTCCGTACATTAATCCTCTTCCCAGTAGTATCAAGAATCGCCGAGTTTCTCATTCTTGATGCTTTTTCAACTTACACCCTTTTTCTTCTTGAATATTGGGCTGTAATATGCCAAACTGCGTTAGACTTGGCTATATATAAAGTATTGTACTTAATTTATATGTATAGATCTTAGAGAGATTTTTCTAAATCAAGAAACATGTGTTAGCTTGCTGCGAAAAGCAGGAAAGCAAACCAGAGTAGTAGTCATTACGCACAATTGTATATATTATAGCGTCGAATTCCGGGATTGAATTGGTAGATTATTGCGGCATTGGACTTTCGGATACACACACACACACACACACACACAGAGGAACTCTGATTTTTTTTTACATTTCAAGTTGCAGGTTCGAAGTTGAAGTAGGCATTACGCAAGTCCCATTTTGGTAGTGGCAATTTGTTTTTAGGTTTGGTTTTACTGTTTGTGCTTGAGATTATGAGGAGTTTATGAGGAAATGAATTGATGAAAAATGGTGATAAAAAAGAGAGGGAAAGAAATAAAGAATAATAACTGAAAACAACATTTTGAAAGTGATAACTTAAATGGTTTTTGGTTATCAATTTTGTTGGTTTTTATTTTGTGTGTTTTTTGTTATAAATTTCTTCTATGTCTTTCCCACCATCATTCATTCATTCTTCTTTGTCCCTCTTATTTTATCTCTATCATTAACATAAAAAGTGAGAACTAAAAAAATAAATTAAAAAGAAAAAACTAAATGGTTACCAAATACCTCTGATTTTTTTCTATTCAATTTTTATAATGTTTATGATATGTTTACTTGTGTGGCCTTGGTGCTCATGCATGGCTATGGGAGGAAGGAGTTGCCTATCATTGTGTTTCCATTATATATAGAACTGGAAATCAAAGAGTAGTGCAAACTGAGTAAGTTTCGTATTAATCAATTTTGTATTAAGATGACATGATAATTGATCACCAATGTGCCATTTCCGTTGTCCTTCTACCTGAAATAACAACATAAAATACAAAACGTCAGATCCATGCTTCTGAAATCAAGTTTCAATTACTACGTATATTCTATTTGGAACGCGCGTCATAAACAATGCAATATGGTAGAAATGTTTTCCGACTAATCTTGTATATTAGATGTATTCGAGGCCAATTTAATTAAATACATGTATGTACACATATGCTATACGATTTACCTGTAACTAAATCTTGCAAAAGCTCTACAGATTGTAAGAATTTTGTGCAATTTCCTTTCCCTTCTCTTCCTGTCACGAGTGCTTTTCAAGGCGTTGGAAGGAAGTGCTTCAAGCCAATAACAAAGTCGAAGGAAAAAGGTTCAATATTAAACGACAAATCGTATACTTCTAAAAGAAACAAACAAAAAATACAACAAACCGCATAGTTCTTGAAGAAAATGTTTAAAGAACAATAAAAAATTATTTTCCCTCAATTTCATCACATCGGATAGGAACCATAAGATGGCCGGGAACCCACTACGATACGACTGCACCAATGCGGAAAAAGATATAGAAAATGTCGGGATAAAAAACTCATGACTAGGATTAAACATGAATTTCTTAGAAGTTAAAAAAAGGTGAAAATCAGTTTCCTAAATATAATAAGAAAAGTCACAATTGAATACAATCGATAAAATATAATATGTATACCTGCAATTTTGTGGAACAGTCCATGAAAGCTGTGGTGTGGCAGTTACATTAGGAGGTAAGGACATGTACTTTCTCCAAACTTGAAGCAAAATTTTAAGATCATTGACTTTGTTTTCGAGGCCAACACAACAATTGGCATGCATTGTGCAAACTTGGTTAAAGTCCTTACTCGCCTGGCAGAAGCCACCAAAGTATAGTGTATCCAAGAACCTCATTTTCAATCCAATTTGGGTGAGGAAGGGATCAAATTTGATCTCATTGAGAACGTCTTGGTCATGCATCTTTGGATACGCCTTTCTTGAGAAGTACCAAAACTTATAAAATTGAATCGTGCGATTGTTTGATTTTACATAAGTAAACCCTCCATTGGGAAAGTTCTTCATGCTATAAGAATCACCGAGGAAGTAATCGCATGCAATTTGAAAATCTGCATCTGGATAGAATCGTGGGAATGGATTCCGTAGCCACATTATATCAGTGTCCTGTGCATCCAATTTTGGAAAGAAAAAAAGCAAGTGACATTTGGATATATAGATAGGTAAATTGGTAGGTGAGAGACAATGGAAAATTATGAGTATTAGATCAAGGGAGTTACTGTAAAGACAAAATTGTAGCCTCTGTCGAGAATAGAAGACAAAAATTGGATTCGTCTCCACATCATGTCCAGGTACTTTAAAGACATGAAAGCAGCTTCGCTGGTGAAATTGGCACCTTGAGTGTAGAGTTGGTAGCAATGAGGGTGTGATGCCAAGCAACGCGCATATGCTTTTTTGTCCAAGCATATGACCACCAAATGCTTGAGCAGCCATTTTGTGTTACTTCCGATCTCGAAACTCTCTAAAAAGGAATCGAATATTGAATTGGGTTCTGCCCATGCATCATTTAGAGTAGTTACGATAACGGTTTTGTTCTTCATGGATGCATTTCTGAGAACTGTGTCCAATGGATCTTCTACTTTGGTCTGCATCATCAAGATCAAATCAATTAACTGATCCATGTAATAGCATTGCATAACCACAACCCCAGGCCCTAGGGATTGTTCGATAGGGTTATCCTTACAGAGAAACTCACACATATGAGATCAGTGTGAGGTTGGGTGACGAGATAAAATTATAGAGATTTTCATAAGTATGTGAGAACGGTCGGACATGCCCGGTGGTACAGCAACTTGACCCAAGATTTTTCATTGGGCCCCGACCCTGAGGGGAGTAAAGGGTGCCACACGACAAGGTCAACCACTCCGTGTGTAAAAGCATTAACCCTTTTTTGAGTCATGTGGCATCAACAATTACAGGATAAAAAAAAGAGTAGTATATACAAATAGAGCTACTTATAAAATATGAGTAAAATCCAGATTAAAAATTGGCATGGATGTGTTACGTAGAGAGAAAGGTAATGATATTAAAACAAAAAGTCCTTTTTTCTTTCTCTCTCTTGGCAATGAAGGAAGGTTATGGAACATGTATCGATAAACATAATTATCTGAGTGCCAAATCCTTCATAATTATGTATATATTGATTTCGGATTAGCTAGCTAGCATACAACAAGAATATATTGTTTTACTTAATTTGCTCCCGAGTCTACAAGTAATTACTACCACTTTGATATTTTATGTGTAATTGATCGTTTTTTAGGAAAACTAATATAAAAAAAAAAAACATGTTGCTGTTGGATTATGCCGGCTTAATTATGACTAAAATAACAAGCCTTGGGATGAACACAAAATAGAACATGCGAGAGAGAAAGAGAGTCCTGGCCTGATGAGAAGTTACGGTTCTGGTGGCAGACAAAGCGTAGTCATAAGAGGATCTGAGCAGAAATCCGGAAGTGTAGACAGAATTGTAGAAGCCAAAGCAACACACAGTGGCTGCCGCAAACAGCAACGTCACCTTTAGAAACTTCTTCGCCACCAACGCTCGATTACTGCTACCTGATGATCCGTTTCCACCGTTGGATGATGGTGATGACGACGACGATGATGATGATGATGATGATGATAGTAATTTCATCATATTCCCGCTAACATAATTTCCAGCTGCTTCATCTACCGATAATTTGCTCATGCTCTCTTCTCTCTCTCTCTCTCTCTCTCTCTCTCTCTCTCTCTCTCTCTCGCTTTTGGAGTCGGACGGATATAATTTGGCAACCTCCGCCTCTTAATTCCCTGATTTTTTTTGCTGATGCGAGAAGTCAACCTGTATAGCCTGCCTGCCTGGCTAATTGTTTCCTCTTTGATCCTTATTATCCTTCTGTTAATATTTACTTTATTTTTCAACTGTAATATTAGGTTGCCATCCCTCACCACTAGTTTTGTTTGACTAAAACCTGAATACTTTATTATGATTGAGGTCCCCGGCCCTTTAGGTAAGTTTTGCAATTCTGCCTAATTTTTAGGGTTATTACACACTCATTCATTAATCAGTTTCCCCTTTTTTAGGAATTTATTTAGTAAAATTATTTCATAATTTCAATTTTAAAAACATTTCTAAATTACAAGATGTAACCATTTTCACATTGCCCTTTTTTTTTTTTTTTTATAAAAAAACTTTCTCATTTAGCAAAATGTATTTATTGAAGAACTTCGTGGAAATTATAAGTGAAAACATAAGAACAAAATTTGTACCCCAAAAGTACCAAAACGTACCCTAAAGAATTTCGTGGACATTATGGGTGAAAATATAAGAAAAAAATATGTATTCTAAAAGCAGCAAAATGTACCCATTGATTGAAGCTTTTTTCTTATCTAATTCTAAACATAAGATATAGATCAACTAAATGTGTATACCAAAAAAAAAAAAAAAGTACCTACCCCAGCTATTGCATCAAACAATCCAAGTGCAAACAGAGGACAAGTTCATCGTTCTAAATATTTTGTGTAAAAACATATAGATAGAAAGTATCCGGCACAAAATTGTGATGAGCACTACAATCAGGAACAACATCGCAAAAATAAATTAACGGGTACAAATGAAACCAAAACAAAAGCCAAGAACAAACACTTAATCATAAAATTGGATGGAAAAGGGATTATCTCCGGATTTCTTCCTCCTAATTCACCAAATCAGTGGATCCGTACCATTAAAATTTGATCCAACGGTTGAAGTTATTATAACTTTTAAAGTAGACTCCTTTTTGTAGCCGTTAGATCAAATTTCAATGGCACAGATCCATTGATTTGGTGGATTAGTATCCCTTTCCAAATTGGATATGTATCTGCAATTAATAATGTTCGCCCTTGGATATATACAATAAAGTAATAATGTTCACCCTTGGAACAATTTACATATATAGTTGGGAACTTTAACGAAAGACTTCTGGTACTGTTCACTTTAACGAAAAACCACATTTTTACACTAAAAAGTCAATCCTGGTACTATTCACTTTACCCTTTATTTTGTCTTTATCGTTAAAACTCAAAGTTTTCAAGCCCTTATCATTAGTTTTCCTTATCTGGTTCTAATTACTAGAGCGCGTGCAGCAAACATTTTTTGAATCACAGTGTGTTACGCACGACTTACATGTTTTAAATATATTTATATGCGTAAATTGACAAAAAAAATTCAAATATTTGAAGTAAATGAATAATTTTAGATCATGCTAGAAGAAACCCCTCATAAACCAATTAAAGCAGCTGAATTCACGTAATAAAATCAGTTTCTATAGAATTTACATTAAAAATAGAGAAAATAATATTTAATAAACAATTGATTGAATCACATTATTGCTAGCACATTGTGAAGCTAAGCTCCTTATTGTAGATAATATCATTTGTTAAAAAAAAACAATCATTTGACAATTAATTTAATCACATTAATATCAGCGTGCAAAATACCTTTTTTATAAAGAAAATAATATTTAATAAACAACTGATTGAATCACATTATTGCTAGCCTATTGTGAGGCTAAGTCCACCTTATTTTCCTTATTGTAGATAATATCGTTTGTTAAAAGAAAAACAACAATCATTTGACAACTTATTTAATCACATTATTATCCGCGTTCGAAAAATATTTTTTTTATAATCGACATTACACGCCTTTTCAAATATTTTAAACACAACATTCATGATTTTTCTTATTTTTTATTATATTTTTCTTTCCCCTTCATATGGGCACCATCAACTTTCACTCATCCTTCCAATTTTTTATTCTTTTCTCTCTTCCGACTTAAATTTATATTATATTTTATAATGATCAAATTACCAAATTATCCATGTTTTATTTGATATATTATATTGAATTCTTTTTGAATTTTTTTGATTAAGGGGCAATTTTTTCCTATTATTTTTTGTCAAAGACGTGACCCAAAGTGGGGCTCTGGCTTTTATCTATTAGAGCAACTCCAGCGTTGGAGCCCTCCCCCCTGGCAATTCACTATTCAATCCACCTAATGAACAGTAATTGCCCTTAATGAACAGTAAGTAGCCCTGGCAATAGATTTTGCATCTCCACCGTTACACTTCTATAGCCCTGGCAATAGGCAATAAAATATTAGTATTTTTTTTATTTATAAAATTAATACAAAATAATTTTAAATGTAATATCGGATAAGATTTTTAATCGTTGTCGGTGCGCCACGTGTCATTATCCTAAGTATTATTAAATAATACAAAATAAATAATTATAATATGGATTTCTGATAAGATTATTAACCAATCACGTCGCGCCACGTGTCATAATCGGTTCACAATCTTTGAGGATAGATTTCCATCAGATTTTAAACGAATGACGACATGCCACGTGTCATAATCTGTTAACAATCTTGGATGATAGATTTCCATCAGATTTTTAACGAATGACGGCATGCCACGTGGCATTATGCAGAACCTAATCCTTTCTGAATCCTCTATATAATCCACCATCCATCTTCACAAATCTCACACCAAAATTCTCAAGATCTCTATCATTGATCTCAAAATTTCTGCTTCCTTATTCACAAAAATCAGTTTCAATATTCATAGTTTCTGTTTCTTTCTTTCAATGTCTTCTTCTTCTTCCTCAAGGATGATGTGGGAATTGAATCAGGAAGAGGAAGACTTGTTTAACCAATCAGAATCAATGTTCAATCAGCAGGGGGTAAGAAATGAGAGGGAAGAAGATGAGGAGCGTCAAATGAGAGATGACGACGTAAGAAGGGGCAGAGCCTCACATTCCCGTCGAGTCATCCAAGCTGCGGCTCAGATCTGCAGGCCCAGGCGTTCCGGAAACATTGATAGAAACAGGCAACGACGAGGTATGGAACTCTTGGATGATTATTTTGTTTCTAATAGTGCATTCCCTGATACGTACTTTAGACGTCGTTTTAGAATGGAACGACATTTGTTCAACAAAATCATGATTGCTGTTTGCAACCATGATTCTTATTTTGTGCAAAAAAAAGATGCTTTTGGTGCTATGGGTCTACTGCCGGAGCAAAAAATTACTGCTGCCTTGCGGATGCTTGCATATGGAGCATCTGCAGACCAAGTGGATGAGATAACGAGGATGGGGCAATCAACCATTCTTGAGTCCCTGATGAGGTTTTGCGGAGCAATCGAATCTATCTACACCGCTGAGTACCTCCGCAAACCCACACACATGGACTTGGAGCGGCTGTTGAAGAAGGCGGAGATGCGTGGCTTTCCTGGGATGATTGGAAGCATTGATTGTATGCACTGGACGTGGAAAAACTGTCCAAGTGCATGGCAAGGCGCTTACGGGGACAGAAAAGGGGCAAAAAGTATCATTCTGGAGGCGGTGGCATCTTTTGATACATGGATTTGGCACGCCTTTTTCGGGGTCCCGGGAGCTCAAAATGACATCAACGTCCTTACCCAATCCCCAGTGTTCAACGATGTCCTGCAAGGAAAGGCACCAAAAGTTACATATGAGGTCAACAGACGTATGTACGACGGGCCATACTACCTAGCTGACGGCATCTACCCGCGCTGGTCAACATTTGTCAAAACCGTGCCACGTCCGCGGAGTGCGAAGGAAAAACACTTTGCAAGCTGTCAAGAGGGGTGCAGGAAGGATGTGGAGCGTTGTTTTGGTATCCTCCAAGCTCGCTTGGCGATCGTCAGGGGTGCGGCCAGATTGTTTGATGTAGAGTCGCTTCGATCCATCATGATGACGTGCATCATTCTTCACAACATGATTGTGGAAGATGAGTACGATTATGAAGCTGTTGATGAATATGAGCCAGACCCGATGAACAATTCAAGAACACGTATATATTGTGCTCATGACGCCACCGATGACCCCGTGCAACATGAGCCATTACAAAGGGATGGACGTTACAATGAAAGGCTCATTCAACGATATACTGCATTTCAAATGCCAGACATGCACAATGCCCGACAAATTGACTTGATAGAGCACCAGTGGGCATTGAAACAAGCTGAGGATAATTAAGTTCATTTTAGTGTGTTATTTTGAATTTGGTATGTTTATGTTATTTTATTTGGTGTGTTTTATTATTTGGTATGTTTATGTAATTTTTTTATGTTTATGTTTATGTAATTCTTAGTATATGTTTATGTTTATGTTTATGTAATTTTTTTATGTTTATGTTTATGTAATTTTTTTATGTAATTTTTTATGTTTATGTTTATGTAATTCTTAGTATGTTTATGTTTATGTTTATGTAATTTTGTTATGTTTATGTTTATGTAATTCTTAGTATGTTTATGTTTATGTTTATGTTTATGTTTAATGGACTTTTAACAACATAAATAACTTACCAAATTAAATAACTTACCAAATTAATTCTTAATATAAATAACTTACCAAATTAATTTGAATAAATATTCATGAACATGGAAACAACATAAATAATACAAACAATAAATAATAAATTACAACCCAAAGTGATTGGAAAATTATGGGCTCCGATTACAAAAAGTACTCTATTCATCATCACTTAACCAATTTGTGCTGCTAGGATGATCTTCTCTTGCGGTGCTAGAACCACCTTGGCTTGCTATTGTTTCTCTTGCACGCCTCCTTCGCACCACGTCCGCTTTCTCTGACTTCCAAAAAATTTAGAATTTGGAGACTTCCCTTCTAAAGACATGTTCATAATCTCACGATCTTGTTGAGCTCGTCTTTCTTCTCTAACATGTTCCCTTTCTTGCCTAAGTAGCTCTCTTTCTCTCTCATTAGCATAAAATTCTCTCTCAACAGCTGCTGCTTTTGATGCCTTATCAGCCTTATCAGCCTCATCTTTCGTCAGTTCCCTCGCCAAAGTCAATTCACCTTGGCGAGTAAGTTCTTCCATGAACTTTGCATAATCGTTCTTGGAAGCACTC